GGGACAAGAAAGATCAGATTAGCTCCTATTCATGCTAGGTGCTGTATCTCTTACACAAAGAGGTACTGCCTGCCTCCGTTCTGCAATACTGGTCAGGGTGTCAGTAATAATCCTCTCAATGCTCATCAGGGTGTCTCCAATTTGGGTATTTCATCACAAAAACAAGGTATGGGGCAAGAGTGAATGTTCAATGCAACAAGTAAATGTAATTAGGGGCTCAGAATTCCTCACCTGCATAAATAGTCTGTAGTTATCCATTCTGGACAAGAACACACTCCTAAATTAAAGAAAGGCCACCAGAAAAGATGTAGTGAAACATCCATACCCTCTTCTCATGGAGGAGAAAACCCCTGGTCTTAAATTTCAGGGGGTGTTAAGGTTAGAGTGTCAGGATGAGCAAGAAGAGCAGCAGATCATGGGCTAGACATGTGAGGAAGGCAGCAGATGTCCATCACTGATGGTTACTCACTTCAGCAGCAGTGTAACCTACCACCTGGGGTTTGAAGCCCACCACTACCTTGTCTCAGCCTGGCTTTCTTGCACAGACTGTTCTGCTGCAGTGAGTGCTCTTACCAAGCCTCCTGATTGAAACAAGTCAGTGTCACGGGTTTGGTAGAGAGGATTTCTTTGCTCTGAAAAGCATTTTCATTGAAGGGCACCTAATACATTAGGAGGAGAGGTGCCACCATTCACTCCACTTGTCACTGTACATCTGGTCAGGGGTGCCGGGAATGAAAACCAGCAGTGCAGGAGAACAGGATTAATTTGTTAATGAATGACAAGAGAAAGGCCTTCTGCAAAGGGGTGCTGGAGGAGGTAAGCGTGCAGAAGTGGTCGTTAAGGAAAGAGCTGTTTCACTGATGCATGAGGTAAATGTAGAGGTAGATGGATACTGTTCAGAGTCAAATGGTAAAGCACATCTCAGGGGCACAAGGTACCTCCTAAAGAATCACCGCGATATATTTGGGGTTGGGTTTTCAAAGTCACCCAGGGGTTATTTCTTTGGGGTTTTTATTATAATGTATTGGTTTGCTTGAAAAAAAGAAACCAATCCATTTTGAATAACCAAGAGAAGACAAACAGCTGTAATTGAAAAGCATTGAGAGCTACATCTCGGTTTTGAAGAGAAGAGTGATTTTTCAGAGCTCAAAGCAATGAAGCACCCAGCCTTTACTGTACTTCAGGGGAATGTCAGCACCTAATTCCCTTTAGTTAAAATTGAAACACAATGAATTTTGTTTCAAGCCAGTTCTCTGTACAGAAGAGCGTGTAAAAAGGTTTGCAGAGGATGTTTAGAGGCGTAACATAGAGCTATAATATGAAATACATGGCAATTTAACATACAACTACAGTTGTATTATGCAGCCGTTATCGACGGTGTGACTGACACAATGTCCAATTAGGAAGGAGGAAATGACATCTCTTGCAGCTTAACAGCTACACTGTTAAATATGGTCAGTCTTTGCATTGGGAGAGTTATTAAAATGGCAGAAATTAGTGTTAAAGTAATTGATTGGCATTTCCTTAAGATGCAATAATATTCCCGTAAATCTCCTTCAGATAAGAGGATGTACCTGAGACATTTAAAGGACTTTTGGTGTATGTGCAGTGAGGGTGACTCTCAATGAATAATAAATGGCTCTGGGTGACTTGTTATTATGGCTCTGATACTGCACGATATTAACTTTAAAGGCATGCCTTCAGAACTCAGAAACGTTATGGACTCCTGTGTTTTATGATCTTATAACCTCAAGTCCTTCATCCTGGAGACAGCAGCTTCTTTGTTCCATCTCCTGATTACCAGGTAGCTGCTGGCACCACTTCCCTCCCTGCACCTTACTCTCCAGATCAGCTTCTCTAATGAGTGTTAGTTTTACCGGGCTGGAATTGAACCACTTTAGACCATATTTCCTCAGACATAAAAAGTTATCTAGGGCCTTACCATTCCTAAGTGATGTATGCACATTAGCTAATTAATTCATCTGGCTGAGTAGCATATTAATTTCCTTTAATTTCCTATTCTCACTCAAAAGGTAGCATTTCCTTGAAACCAGTGTGGTGGTATAGGAAAAGACTGGCAGATTTAGGCTTTCAAGGACAGCTTGGGGGGTTGGCTTTGAGTTATGCAGCAAAATACACGTGAGTATGCATGATTCTTGCCTTTACAAGACAGACATGCACTATTTCTGTCAACAAAACAATCATTCTGGTCCAAAAAGGCCTTCTTTTACTGTAAGTAAGCAGCCTAGGAGCTTACCTCCTGTTTTCAAAGATGGATGATCCCCTCTGGACTGGGGAAACAGTAGGACCTGTATTACATCTGTAATAAAGAGACAGCTACTATCCAGCTTCATTTATTGGTTTATTCATTATAAATCCCAGCCACTCAGAATCCAAGGACATGCTCAGAACTGGTTTTACCCAAAAAAAGAGCCCATTTCTGAGCAGTTACAGAACTATGGTAGAGCCTTAGCCCTCCCTGACTCTGCACCTAATGCAGAGGCTTTTAAACCAGTCCCTGTGCATGGGACAGGGACACGTATCCAAATATCATTATTCCAAAGGATCACATCAGTGTAATCATACGTACTTCTGGAAACAGACTGGGAAAAGGCCACAACACAGCCTCCAGACAGGCTAGGAGCCATTGCCTCACCTAAGGTCTAGATACCAGCAACCAGACATTGCTGCCCTGTGAACTCATGTGTTTTTCCTTAGCACTGATTTGGGACGAACCCCAAGGCCTTTGACATCAAGCAGGACCATAATCTTCACAGCACCCTGTCTGCTCACAGCGGTGACCACAGATTTGCCTCAAGTCAGTCATCACCTAGTGATGATTCACACCTCTGGTGTGGTGTGAGAGGTCTTCTTCATGAGCAAAGCAGTCATGGAGCAGGTTATCCACCTCATCACCACTCTTCCCTGTATGTGGCTCTCCCAGGATGGCAGTAATCATTCTCTGCAGGTGAGTGTTGGCCACAGCTGGTTTGATTTTCACATGAAGTGTTCTAACTTGGTGCTGTTCTCTTTCTTCTTCCTTAGCCAGCCCATGCTGCCTCCCTTCTTCCTTCTCATTTGTACTGTGCTAGAAGCGGTAACGGAGCCAGCATTCCTTTGCTGAGCTTCCCAGGAACTTCTGTTTTTTTTTTTCTCCTTTTCTTCTTTTTCTTTCCCAGATTTCTCAGCATTTCCAATCAGCTGTTTATATTTAAAGGTTGTCAAACTCATTTAAGTTATAGGAGTTATTAACTCATTTCCCCTCTCTAAGCAGGCTGGAAGAGGGCAATGCTCCCTCTCAGCTTCACTGTTAGGCTTTTCAATTGTCCTTAGCTGAAAACTGCTACAAAAAAAGATGAAGAAAACAAAGTGTACATGTTTTCTTAAAGAAGTGCTATAATTCAGGGCTTCTGGCATGGGCTTGATTCTGGGTTGATGGCATTCTTGCAAGGGTGGGTGAGACTCCTCTCTTTTACCTCTCTGATATGGGCTGAGACAGTATTTGCATTACGCTGGATTCAATTTAATGGTGTACTTGACCTATTCAAAGTAACAGATTTATTTATATTTTTCCAGGAAAAACAAGTAGCTCAAGGCATGCAAAATGTTCCGTTTTCTTTAGGACCTCTGTGCATGGAGTGGGGTCTGGTTCAAGAGGACCGAAGTAGGTTTGGAACTGGGATTCCTTTTTGAACTGAAAAATTGCATCATATTGCACTGCAAACTCATACCTGACAAGCACAGTATTGCTTGAGAGCTCAGAACATTCGTGCAGGGGTAATTAAAAAGCTCTTTAACCCGTATTAGTCTCGTGAAGTCTCTTCAACATGAATGTGCAGAACAATTTAATTGGGCAGATTTTGCTTTTTATGGGAAAGGTGTAAAAAAACCTCCATTGCCATAGGAACATCATCTTGGTCCATGGCAGCAGAGGCAGGACACGAATGGGGACTGCTTGACCTCAGGTCCTGGTGCTGCAGCACAGCACTGCAGGGACCAACCATGTTTTCCCACTGTTTCTCCAAATCAACCAAGTCCCTGGTGATACCAAACACGAGCCATCTCTGCAGCTGCCATGCTCCAGAGGTGCTGTACTTGTTACTATGAAATCTAGGGGGAAACTGTTTTTTTCACCACTTTTCCCCACCACAATTTGCTTTTCTGACATCCCAAAACAGAGTAAAGCTGTTTGATAACCAGATGGTGCAGGCATTCAGGGAGAGGTGGAAAACCAGGCTAGTGTAAACCTGACAAAAATCAGCAGTTTGTTTAAAATACTTGTTCAAATTGTATTTTCCCTTTTCCAGGCAGTTTTGGGAGTGGATAGTAGAGAGACGTGTGTGCATTACATTGCCTTGTAAGAAGAGAAGAATGCTTGAAGACCTCAGAGCAGCCTTCCAGTACCTGAAGGGGGCCTATAAGGATGCTGGAGAGGGACTCTTCATCAGGGGCTGTAGTGATAGGACAAGGGGTGGTGGGTTTAAATGTAAACAGAGGAAGTTCAGGTTAGATATAAGGAAGAAGTTCTTTAGTGTGAGGGTGGTGAGGCACTGGAATGGGTTGCCCAGGGAGGTTGTGAATGCTCCATCCCTGGCAGTGTTCAAGGCCAGGTTGGGCAGAGCCTTGGGTGACATGGTCTAGTGTGAGGTGTCCCTGCCCATGGCAGGGGGTTGGAACTGAGTGATCTTAAGGTCCTTTCCAACCCAAACTATTCTGTGATTCTATGATTACAATACAAAAGCAACATCTTTCCTACTGAAAGTGTGCATACACACACAGCTCTGGGCTTATGTACAGCGAGGAGGGGGAGAACACAAATCAAGCCCAAACATTATAATGTTTTTTTGCACTGAGCTGTCTGGGTTGTCAGTTAGGGAAATTAGCCTGTCTATCACACGTCTCTAATTTCCCATCACTTCCCCTGAAACCTGTGGGCTTTTAAAGAAACTTCTTCATTTTCCTCTCATTACTGTGTTTCTTTTTTGCTTCCTCCAGTTCTTAAGTAGGAAAGTCCCAGAGGATCCAAGCGTCTGAAGGAGGAACTTCGGGGCTCTTCTGATTCTTGCATGAACTTACACAGAAGTAATGGGGAACGTGCAGAACATGCCCAGGTTCCTGTACTGGGTTATCAGGGAGAGAGGGACGTGTTTAGGGAGGGGAAGGAAGGAGGGTGCATGCCCAGCCTGGTGTTGATGCCTGCACAGCATTAGAGGTGTGTTAGGAAAGTGTTACAGGGTGTTTGTACAACAGCCTGCGTACATGTTTGCTCTGTCTGGGGTATTCGATAGTCTCAGCTCCTATACATGTTTGTTTGTGTCTCTTGCTTCTCACTGGGGGCTGTATTTGTGTTGGGTTGTGCGTGAGCCTGTGCCCCTGGGTGTATCTGAACTGACACCATTCACAAAACAGATCCCCATCCAAACCACCTGTGGCTGTGCAGCCCCTTACCCTCCTTATGTGCTCACCTGCACGCCTTCAGCTTCCTTTCTTATTTGATGTTGTGGCTCCCCTGCAAATCCTTTAAGTTTGTAAATGATGTAAGAAAATGGCAGAGCAGAAAAGAAAGCTGGAACAGCTGGGGATGCCTTGGGGATGGCGCTTCCTGGCCCCCGAGATTACTGCGCTATCGCATTGCACTTAATTGTTGCAGTGTTTAGCAAATTGCATTAATTAAAGTGGCACATCTGGCCTTTTTATCAGAGGCTGTGCAGTTCTGGTTTTGATCCTGCAGTGACAGACTGACGGTATCAGCACCCCTGGGTAAACACTCATTACACCAGGGGAAGGGGTTCCTTTATTCTGCTGAAACCCGGGTGTGATGGGAGCACAGAAGCCTCTTTGAGAAGCCTCTGGTAAGCCCTGGAAAGAAAAAGTCGGTCATTAGTAAAGTTCAGTCACCACGGCTCAGCCCTACCCTGCCCAGAAAGGTTGGGCTTTCCCTCTTCCCAACTAAACCTGTTGTAGGTTTGCACCCAAAAGGTAGCTGAATCAAGCGATCAGCCAAAGCTGAAGCTCTGCTCCCCTCGAGACTCACCTTCCTTTTCCTGTGTGTGCACCTATAGCCTGTACTGCAGCCCCCTCGTTGTACAGAGCAGCTCACAAGCAAACATATTGCTTAATTCTGTCTAACTCTCCCAACCTCCTAGATTCAAGGAAGGGAGCTGAAACTCTCAGACAGGATTTAATGCACTCCACAGTCAAGATCTCTTCAGCGCTGAAGCCACCCACAGATCTTTTTGGGGGAAAAACACAGACTTCCTGTGTAAGAACTTGGTGCCTCCACTCTTAAATCATCGCACACGCACTCCATCGTTTCATCCCAGCTATTTTTAAGGATGCATCACGTAAAGGACACTTTGCCCCCCACATCAGGGGGAAATTCTTAAAATGATCGAGCATGAATGGAGCCAAATTACCTAATGAAACAATTATTTTAGCAGGTATTACCTGCATTTAGGTAGTTTTCATATAACCAGAAACGTCATCTGCTTTTTATTTTAGCAGCATTTATATCCTGGCGCATTGGCCATGGCATTAAAGACCTGATCAGTTAATCTTAGCAAAAGGAGGGAGACGTAGGGGAGAAGAGAAATAGCAGGACTCGGTTCAATGTGCAGTGTCAAACCTGACTCTTGTGTTTGCCTTTTAGGCAAATAGACTTACTTAAGGAGTGGACAAACTTACATCCAGACTCGTAACACAAACATGTCTGGGTGACAATTAGATTAACATTTTTAACTTCCTAGTTAGAGCTGAGTGTATTTAGGGGCCTTTCAGAAGACAGCTTCTGAAAGCCTGCAATTTGTGTGCTAACAGAGCCAGCCCCTCTGCAGCATGGCCCATTCCTGGCTTAGCCCATTGCACCTAGCACCACTGTAATAGGACAGAAATGACCATAAGTGTTATTTATGATGGCCTGGAAGTTGTAGATAATGACATGGTGCCTAGGACAATTACTCCACCCATCTAATCCCACACTACCATGGCAGTTCTTCCTTTGGGATGGCTGCCTGTGTGCTCCGTGGGGGTCATTTTTGGAAGGAGAACCAAACCGAGCTTTGTTTTGCCCAAAGCACTGAACCATGGCAGTTGCACACACTGTTGTACTGGGCACTTGTTTAGGAATGCATCACCTTAATAGCGCAAGTGATGCTTTGCACCTTGCATCAGAAGCTCTTCTAAAGAACTGTAAATGGACCAGCACACCTCTTGGAGCCAGTGCAAGCTGTGACCCTCAGCTTGCTTGCTGAATCATCAGCATGGACTTCACATCTCCAGGAAACCCATGGTTTGAGCCTAACTTTTAGGTCTGGATGCTCGCTGACACTACAGCATCCCTGCTGCATCTGCATGCAGGTAGATGAGGGATCCCAAAGTTATGGATGCAGGGAAGGTTTTATTTCCCAGCTAAATTAAGTGCATTTAGCATTGTCTTCAAAGAGGTTGGTCCCAGGTAAGGCCACATGAGCAGTTTATTTTCCACACACCTGAGTTTAGGTGATGGGCAATGCCTTCAGCAGAACTAGCCCCTGGCTCACACCATTGCCAGTAAGCCCTTAGCTAAATAACCAAGAGGTGAGGGAGGAGGGAAACTTAAACACAGGAGCCTAAGAAAGAGGCCACTTGTAAATCCAGCCACAGCCAAGCTCCCATTAGAGACACAGAAATACGGCTGCACAAGGCTGTAGCAGATTTGCAGTTGTATGGGGGAAGTGTTTGCTTCCCTCTCTGTATAATGACTGTTACTGATATCATTACGGTGCTCCACTTGGCACATCCGTTCACTTGGCAGCTCTGGCTGAGGCATTGGGCTTTCCAGTCTATAGAAAGCTTTGCAGCACTTCTCCTCGAGCACACGCTCTGCAGCTAAACGAGTAATTATCCGGGAGCTTTAATCAACCTTCATTCTAGCTGCATTTGCCACTAAATCTGTAGCTAACTTTGAAGACCCCCTGAAGCATGAATGCCGGCTCGGCGTTGTGTGCAGGGAAGGCCTTCAATTGCCCTGTTGGTCTGAACAGGAACTTTCCGTCTCCTACAACTGCTCTTGCCTTGCAGGATTGAAATGAATGGGTGCAGGGATCCCAGCAGAGCTGTGTCAGGAAACAGCTCAACATCTGCCCTAGTGTGGGACGTTTTATTTATGTTCCCCTTGGCAAAAGAAAAGAATCTGCCGTCAGGAGGTGGTAAAAAAAGGTGTTTTCCTAACAAAAACAGGCTCTCTGCAGGCACGGTGAAAAAGGCACAGTTGTAGAAGAAGTTTGAAAAGTGCCAGAATTTGCAAGCCTGTGTGGGGAGCAACATCCCTTCAATGCATGGCAAGCCTTCTGGCTTTATCACCCAGCGTTAGAGATATTTTGTAGGCTAGGTTGGATGGGGCTTTGAGCAACCTGGTCTAGTGGAAGGTGTCCCTGCCCGTGACAGGGGGTTGGAACTGAATGAACTTTAAGGTCTCTTCCAACCCAAACCATTCTGTGACATTCTGATGCAATATCAGGAGCAGGAGGTTTGTTCACATGAGTAGTTGCTTCTGAAAATGCTGGTTTATGTCTCTCATTGAATCTAATTTCACTTTTGTCTCTTTTTCTCTTGTCAGCATGGATTCATTTGCTAGCTCCTGTCACCATACTGCACCCTCCATGTCCACTCTTCCAGAGAAACCAAGTCTGTTTTGTCCAGCCCCAAGTCCAAGCCATGCATTTCCAAACCAGAGTCTCTCCTACATGATTGTCTGGTTTTCCAAGACGTAACTCCGTGATGATACCGATGAACTCACAAGCTGGATTCACCAGTCCCCCCTTACCTGACTGCAGAGCACACATCAAGAAGGTTATATCACCTGATTTGACCCTGCTAGAACAAGGGTAATAAAATATCGAGTTATTTCAGCTTTCAATGTAATAATATGTTGCTGATTATAATTTCACTTCTAGAATTATGAAGATCTTTTTTTGCAAGCAACAGAATCCATCAGTTCAGTTGATCGCTTATTTCAATGGTTCATTTTCCTCCTCAAAAATTGATGTCTTGTTTCCCATTTGAATAGCTCTAATTTTAATTAGAAGGCATTGGCTTTTGTTGCTAAATTAAACAGTGCCTTGCCTTTGATCTGGTACATACTGCACTGCACAGCCCTTGCTAAACAAAACAGAAAGATTTTTAAATCTCTCACGAGGAAGTATCTGAGGTATTCAATAATTTCTGTATCCACTGTCAATGCATAGATCAAGAGACCACCGATAGAAAGAGCAGCACGTGGAGTGAGAGAGGTACAACTAGATGAGTAAATGGAGAGAGTAAATCCAAAAGTGGAGAGAAAAACAAAGGGAGTAGATCAACAAAATCCCCCGTTCCCCAGGTTGGAATGAGTCCTTCACCTCAGTGAACAGCTTTTCTTACCTGAAAACTGTGAGCCAGTTCAAACATAATCCATCACCCTGTTGCTGAAGCCATTTGACTCCTTAATTTCACCTGGAAATCATGGCTGCTCACTAATCACATGGGAAGCAGCCTCCCTTTTCACTCCCCAGATCCCTGGCACCATTACTCCTATATTTAGCAGTCACTTCTTCCCATCACTCACCAGAATCACTCTACATCCAACACGTTCAACTTTGCATCACAAACTTGCCAATTGGCAGGAGCAAAAGCAACTTCTTTTCTTTTTTTATGGTCCTTACTTGACTCTGGCCCCCGGCCAGTCAGTGTCTTCATTTATTGTAATGAATTTGTGTCATTAATATGTTGGATATGCACAGCAATTGCAAAGTAGTACATTAGGACAAAAGCTATTGCTCTGGATGCCAGCGTTTTATTGCCACAGCCGATTTACAGGCTGATAAGCAACTTTGCGGTTGTCCTTGAGAATGGGAAAAGGACAGGTAGCGTGGCAGAAGGGAGGCACTGTGGTGGCTGAGGGGAAGCGTGAGGTTTCCCAGGCCTTGCGCAACAGGGGGGTGGACTTGATTTCATCTTTCCTCTTTAATGTGTCTTCACGATCCCAGAGAAACACTGCCGACAAAGCCTGGGTGGGAATCGCGGGCACTTGGGGAGGAGATTAAGTGCCATTACAACACTGCAGGTTTGGGAGCTTCTCTGTGACTAGCTCATAATGGAGCCATGTCATCACTTTATTGCAAAGATAGGATAAAGACAGGCATTATATGGTGTTAACATTTAACAGCCATAACTTAACTTTCAAAAGACATTACAGGCCAAGCCACAGTGAATTGTTTCTTTCTATGTGTTTAATCCTTGGCTCACGTGCTATAGAGCAAGGGTATTTGCAGGGGAGATAGAGTGCTAGGCAGACAGACTGACAGACCTGTCTGTCTGTCGGCTCGGGAGGGTAATCCCTTGAAATGCAACCTGGAAAGAAGTATTTAAAAGGAAAGAATAAAACAGAAACAGAAGCAGCACAGATAATATTTTTGACTGTCAAACAATGAGCATCCCCCTCCTGTGACTGAGCCTATACCCAAAGGAGTCAGTCGCAGGCCCCTGTATGTGATGCTCCTGGAAGCTTTGGTGGGGCAAGATCAGGAATGAGGGCCACAGAGAGACCTGGGCAAGGTCAGAACATCAGCTCAGGTCCAACATACCTGTGGGCTGGGAAGGATTTGGCCAAGATGCTCTGCAGCCTGGCAATCCCTCCCAGCATAACACCCTGCTTGGGCTCCAGAGCTCATCCCAGCACAGAGGCACCCAGATTGAGAGGCTGAATTTGGAGAGTTGTTGGACAGTCACCTTCCCAGGAAATAGATTCCCCGTGGCACTCACTGCTACAAGGTATGACTGAAAGCACTATGAGACAGAAGCAGATGGTCCCTTTATAGGGGTAACTTGAGCACTCGGAGGGGGATGGCTCAGAAGACAGCCTCTTTGGAAGGAGTGCTGGATCCTCCTGCTTTGGGCCTTGAATCCTAATTTCTCTCCTGGAGAGGAAAGAGGAAAATTCCCTATGGGTGGAGCAGAGCAGGGAGGATGTTATTGCTGTAACCACCCGGTCCTGCCTCTCCTGCTTCCAGAGCAGCTGCTGTAGGGCATGGCTGGGATGAGCTATTGATCCAGGGGAGCCCTGTGCTCTCCCATCTGGCCACTGGAAGGAAGGAGGGATGATCCCCCCATATTTCATAAGCCCTGTGAAAATGAAATGGGCAGTCCAGGGACCTCCAACCTGTCACTCCCCATCTTAATTAGCACTGTCAGCTTGCCTGCGTTTTAGGTAATTAATTATGGTGCTTCATAGCTGCATTTCTAGTTGACACCAGCGCCCGCTGACGGGACAGGGTATTGATTTTCTAACCTGTTTGTTTGTGCTTGTGGTCAAGACTCACACAACAGGAAGCGTTTGGTGCACGCTCAAGAAAATATTCGTCAGCGTTATCTGAGAGCCACAGCAAATAGATTTGGGCCCAGAAATAGACTCAGCTGCTGAAAAACCTATTAGCAGCATCTCAGATTTCCTGTGTACCAGCAGGTTAGGGGGCAAGCACTTTAACATTGCCCACAGCTTGTGGTTAATTACTGTTTGTGGAGTTCCCGTCTGCAGTTATGCTTGACAAAATGCCCATAAAGACAAAAATGAAATGCTTGCTGGTTTTGGATGGATGCCACCTGGTCCCCATACCCTTCCTCCCCCACTGGGTGCTAAAAGGGCAGCAAAGACAAAGCAGAGTTGGGCTGGTGTAGAGCTTTGTGTTAAGTGTGAGCAGCGGTGCCCCGGAGCAGCTAAGGGGGATGCGGACCCCATGGTGCAGTGTAGCCATCCAGAGCTGTGACCTGATAACGTGCCATAAGCTGACATGGCTATTGCACGTGTCCCTGTTTGCTCTCTGGGATAGCCTCTGGCTTTGCCAGATGCAGAACATGCAGAGCTACCTGCTAAAAGAAACTAAGAGCTGATACAGCAGGAAATAGGTTTTTTCTAGCCTTGAATAAATTCCCCTCTTAAGAGCTACAGTGCAAGAGCCTCCTTGGGCTGGTCTGTATCACCAGCAAGCATGCACCAACGTACCTAGTCAAATGGAAGTTGTCCCTGCACAGGACAGGGGGTTGGAACTGCATGAGCTTTAAGGTCCTTCGAACTCAGACCGGTCTGTGACTCTGTATGAAGCAAGCAGAGATGCGAGCTCCTTAGGATGTTGTTTGGAGGACCAGGGAAGGTATAGGCATACTTCCAAACTCTTCATGCCTTCTTATTCCTGATGAAGAAGCTAACGGGACAGGTAATGGGTTGAGGGCCATGACCTAGGCTGGGCATCTGCTGCTGACCTCTCCCAGGGGTTGTGACCCAAAGACTGAGAGCGACTGATGCAGAGATTTATGCCTTGTTAATAACAGAATTGAGCAATCAGCGTAATGAAATCCATGCTCTGCATTAATGAGCGGCCGAGGCAGCAGGGGCTGAGCCCTGCCTTCTCCCAGGGTGGGCAAAGGGGGTGATGTCTGCCTGGATTCAGTCACTCCCTCCAGAAAATGGGGCCATGCCCAGTGCAGGCAGGACCCAGTGCCCAGCAGAGCTTTGGATTTGCCAGGGCCAGCCCCTGTGAATGGGCATATGGCAGGGAATGGCGAGATGTCCATCCGGAGTTGAATGTTGAGTATTGCCTCAAGGTATAAAGAACCCCAACATTTTTTCCTCTTGGGTACAAGTTGCAGGTTTTAATCACTGCTAGGTCCAGCCTCAATATTTTGGGTTATTTCTCCCCCATAAATTCCTGGCTTCTTTTCATCAAAACTCAGGAATAAGAAGGTATGAAGAGCATGGAGGTGGGCCTATACCTCCCCTGGCTCTCCAAACTGTTATTTCCATATATATTTAGAAAGGTCTTGTATAAGAAGACATACAGGAGAAAGATGCTGAAGTAACTCAAATATAGTTACCATCACATGGCACAAATTTTGAGTCCTGACATTGTGATTCAGACACAGCTAAAATTAGAGCATGGCTCTGGGCATCACTTGATTTTTTGCTTCAGAAGGATGGTATGACTTATGCAAAGTTGTTATGCTATAGCCCAGATACACAGCTATCTAAAACCAGCTGTGCTGCCTCATCTCTTACTGGAATATGGCCTTACTCTAATAGTACTCCTTTGCTACGTATGCCAGCTCCTTGTCCAGCAGGCCCCTGAGCCTGGAGAGTGGAATTTAAGATGAGAACAAGTGCACATCTTTGGAAAAACTCAGATTTTAAAATGATTCATTTGTCCTTTACAAAAAGAGAGTGCCTGGTGTATAGTATTAAGGAAATTGCAGAGCAGAATCAGCTGAACTGCAAGGCATTGCTAAGATTCTGTCATCAATTATTTAAACACATCTTCCAGAAGGAATAAAAGAAATAGAAGTGGTTATGCTCTAACTTCTGTGGGGAAAGCAATCCTAGGGACACAGTGGAGCCAGCACTGCTACTCCTGGGAGCCTCACTGGCGTCTGCCCCAGCCCCGTGGCACAGGGCACTACAAGGTATGTCCTCAAAGTGCTTTTATCCGGTTGGCTGTCACAGGGGAAAAGGGGAGGAAAACGGTGCTGGGAGCTTTGTGTCCAAAGCTCTGTGGTGGAGCAGCAAGGAGGGAACCTCCTGGGTGCCAATTTGCTTGTGGCAGGGTTTTCCCCATCAGAAATAAGAGGTGGAGAATAAGCATTTCTACAGGGATGGGCGGCTGCCAGCCTGTCAGTCACAGGGAAACGAAGATCTCCAACAGGTCTAACTGTAAAACATCAACAGTTAACTCATGCCAGGGGACCCGGCTGAGGTTAATCTGTTGCCATAAAGGATTTATTAAGGTGGATCATGGCGTGCCTGGGGAGGTGCCGGGAAGAGGAGAACGCTCCGAAACCCACACAGCCCATCGCTTGCGCAGCCCTCTGCCCAAACAGGAAACATCCCATCAGCGGTCCAGTATTTATTTCTCTTTAACCTCCCACCCCTGCTAACCACCCCCTGCACAATTAAGCTGGATTCCCATGGGAGCTGGGGGAGAGGGGCAATTAGAGGGGCAGTGGGAGCAGAAAGCTTCCCCCCCTGTGTCATTAGTATAAATTGTGTTTGTGCAAGTTAGATTTTACAGCAGCGTGTCAATTAGGGTGTGAAATTTAATAACCCAATCGAGCTTCCCTCCCTCCAAGCTAAATTGAAATGTGCTGCCTGGTTGGGAGAGGGAAGGGGG